ACATGTTTTATCTATGTTGGATCAATATTGGATAAATATTCTATATAAATAAAGAAAAAGTACATCCCTTATATATATATTACCAATATTGGGTAAATATTACATATCAATATAAATAAAAGTTATTGCCAAATATCTTTTATTAATATTGGATCAATATCGGATAAACATGGTATTAAAATATAGGAAGATAGCACATCTCCTATATATTACCAATATTGGCTAACGGTTAGTTAGGTTGCAATTTCTAGGCGATTCAAAAGTTAACCATCAATCTTCCAAGAATTTTGGTACCCAAGCGCCGGGCAAAGTGTCTTTATATGGACTTTCAATTTTGCCAAACATGTTTTATCTATGTTGGATCAATATTGGATAAATATTCTATATAAATAAAAGAAAAAGTACATCCCTTATATATATTACCAATATTGAATAAATATTGCATATCAATATAAATAAAAGTTATTGCCAAATATCTTCTATTAATATTGGATCAATATCGGATAAACATTGTATTAAAATATAGGAAGAAGGTACATCTCCAATATATTACCAATATTAGCTAACGGTTAGTTTACGTTAGGTTGCAATTTCTAGGCGACCTAAAAGTTAACCATCAATCTTCCAAGAATTTTGGTACCCAAGCGCCGGGCAAAGTGTCTTTATATGGACTCAATTTTGTCAAAGATGTTTTTTCAATGTTGGGTCAGTATTGGATAAATATTCTATATAAATAAAGGAAAAGGTACATCCCTTGTATATATTGCCAATATTGGATAAATATTACAAATCAATATAAATAAAAGTTATTGTCAAATATCTTTTATTAATATTGGATAAATATCGGATAAACATTGTATTAAAATATAGGAAAAAGGTATATGTCCTATATATTACCAATATAGGCTATAAATTGCCAATATTGGGCCCATATACAATATTGTACCAATATAGAATAAATATTGGGCCAATGTCGTGTGCTACTGGGGACGCTACAATGTGGTTTCTCCTCTCTCTCTCTGTCTGTCTGTAAAGACGTTTTTCTCAAGAAGAAGGTATCAAGTTGAAATATATATCAAACACACAGGTTTAGAGCTGTGCAAAATTAAATCTTCTAAGTCAACACAATCAAAAGATGAGGCCTTTCATGTCGCACCCGCAAGGAAATCAAAACCCATACGGTACTGTTTGTTTCAAGAAGTTGGAGCCCTTTTCCTTTATTAGGATGCGCCGTAATTCCAAATTCAATCATATTTGTCTGCGTAGCTCATTTCTTCACCGATCATCGAACGAGAACTAGACAAAAGTGTACAGTACCATTTGCAAAATTATTTAAACTGCCTCGTTAAAATTTAAGAATATGCTTTATTTAAAAGCATATTTAGCCAAAAATAATAACAAGTGAATTAACTTAACG